GTGGTTCTGAGGTTGCTACATTTTGTCTTTGTTACAGACCCAAAAAAGGAATTTTGATTTACTGTGATTGAATTCAGTCATGACATGGGGCAAAAAGCTTGATTCCAATTGTTGGAAGGCCCTGGATGCAATTCTGCCTCCCTGCCACGTTTCAGGTTTTATGCAGGAGCTGCTGCCAGGTTATACTAACACACAATGTCCTATGGAGTGTTCCAGTGGAACCCTGGCTATCTAGATCAGGCAGGGATTTATCCTTGCTGGATGATTTAAGGCATGTCATATATTGTGTATATTGCTTTATTGTGCACCAGCTCTGTTTATCAGCTTCTCATACACAAAGAAATAAAACTCTCATGCACTTCTCATAACACCTTTGCAATGCATATCAGGAATATAACATGATTTCAACTCAACTCAAACGTGGCCTTCCAGTGTTTTATTTACATCTACCTATTGGAGCCAAAGTAAGGTATGTTCATTTACACCTCATCATATTTTGGCTTCGTATTAGACTGCATAAAAAATGTGAAATCTCCGCAGGTAAGAGAAAAGGAGAAAACTCTGCATATTAGGTGTTTTCCCCCAGTTTTAATGCTGAAGATTTTTACTTGCAGATGTTTATTCAGGAAAAAAAAGTATAATACTTTGACAATATTGAGACATTCTTAACATTAGTGCAATGGAAAAAAATCTCAGTTCTGCTATCTTGGTAAAAATTTCTAATATTAATACTCCTGTTTATAGCAGAATGACATTTTTTTCAGCCCTGTCTTTTTGATCACTTCTGCCTTAATGTCTCTCTCCCTCTTAGTCCAGAAGTGCCTCATTTTGCCTACTATTTAGGTGAAGAGTGCTCTTTATTTATAAGCATGCTGGATATTGGGCTGCATTGTTAGAATGCTAGAATGTTCTGGTGCAAACCTGATACACAGTACTGGTGGGATGATGCAAACTGATGGGATGATGTGTGCAAACACTGACAATTCATTACTAGTTTCAAAACTGAGCTAAGTGTTGTAAAGTGGGTGACTCCACAAAGCACATCTTACTTGACAGTTGTGATGCTTTGGCACTTCGGTGAAATGTATGAGGTTAGAGGTGGATTTTTTAGTTACTGCATCCCATTTTGCAGCATGAATTAGACTTGGAAAAAGGTAGAAAAGGCAGTAAATAATATTTGGGGTTCCATTTTTAAGTATTGCTGGGCCTTGGTCCAAATACTAGGTATAACTTAACCAAGGTCTTTTTTAATGTCCTTCAAAAATAATTTCTACTGCTTGTCTTTTGCTAGTGCAGAGATACATGTCTCCCCAAGTAAGCCCAGAAAGAGACATAGAAATCTCTATAATATACTAGGATTTGACTTGCAAGGAGAAGTGAGTTATTAAAAGAAATAGAAGAAAAATGAAAGAAAACCTATGCTTTTAATGAACAGAATAAAGGAGAAAGAGAAGGTTGATTTAATCTATTGATTTGCTGTGAAGTACAAGAACAGATGTTTTCTGTTAGGTCCCTGGATAAAATTCAGTAGGCGCCACTAATACTTAGGGACTGGTGACTCCTGATAAGATTGAAAATTGATGTCTGCCCTATTGTAACCAAATGGAGATGGCAGGTTAGGCTGCTTTAGGTGACTCATTTCAGAGTACTTGAATACAAAAAAAATTATCTCATTTTCCTAGGCTGAGACACAGATGAGAAATGTTTTGCCAAGAGTTTCCAGCTCCAAAGATGTCAGCCATGAAGAGTTTAATCCTTACAGTAGGCAGTGGAGCACATAAAGCTCCTTTGTTGTAGGTCTGAATCCCCTTGGGTGAAAAAGCTCGAAAAAATGGTAGATTATCTTTATTTGCCTGATTTCTGTTTGTCAATCACCTCTTTGAATGTCTAATCCAATAATTATCTACAGAGGTGCTCAGGGAGATGTGATTACCCTGTAGAGGTGTTGGAAGCAAGTCCATTTCAACATTGGCCCAGTTTATCTGACTGCCTCTCCTTCGACAGATCCAAACATTAAACAGATCACATTTAATGGAAGTTCAAAGGCTTTCCCAAAAGGTTCAGAATTCTCTGTGATCAAGGAAAGAAAAAAAAAAAAGTTTCTCATTTGCCTTCTTGGAAACCACTCAAAGCAATGTAATTCTGGAATTTAGATTGTCCCATAGTGCCTTTTGAGAGACCTGTGCAAAGATTGCTGAGGTCAGTGTGTAGATGTTCCCAGGTGTCTGGTCAGCTTTCAGGCAAGGAGAGCAGAAAATCCATGCAGTGAATGCAAAAAAAGTGCACATGTGGTGTGTGTGTGTTACATATGTGTGTGTATATATGTCAGGCAAAAGATTTGAGTTCTTGCTTTCAGTATGAAATCCACCTCAGAAACTGCAGTACTAGGCAGGATCTTTCTGCAAAGGGACTGGAATCTATTCTTCACACTTCTCTTACAAGGAAGACTAGAAGGCCTTCCTCCTCAGCCTTCCTGAGATTTTTGGCATGGGGCTTTTATGTATTTAAATACATTCACATGCACACCCCCTCATATTTGCTCTCATGCATTGCTGCTTTTTCTTAAAGGTATTGTAAGTGCATAGAGAAGTATTTAAAATAACAGAAATACAGGTTGGAAGTCTGTGCTTTCCTGATGAAGTGACTTCTAAGTATGTGCTTGGACTTTTTTAGTTTTGCTGTTTAGTTGTTTTGCAGTAGCAGATGCCCTGAAATGGCAGACAATGTAGATTTTGGTATCACATACAGAAAGTGGCTGTGGCCACTGTGGGACTACCCTGCAAGATGTGGTGTGTAAAACATGGTACTTGGACTCTAGCCTGGGGCAGATTAGTTCCGACTTGTGGGTGAAATTTGTAGAGAAGACAGAAAACTTATAAAGAGCTCTAAGGTCCTTAATGAGAGACTTATGTAGCATAAAATGACGTACGATTTAAAAGATTTGAAGAAAGCGAGGAAGAATTTGAGAAAAAGCATGGCATAGTTTTGATGTGATGTCTTAGGTATGAGCTAGTCAATACTGTTTATAAATCTCCCCCTTTTAATGCATCAGGTCAAAAATTATACTGACCTCTAAACATTGCTAACTAGTTGAAATGAGTCTCAAATATAATCCAGCTGATGTGTAATAGGCATTACAGGCTTGGAATGAAGTCAGATGAATGGAAACATAATTTAACTTTCCAAGTTTCTTTTATTTTTAAAGTATTATAAATGTCTGATTATAACAGATCCTGTACAGAGTGGCTTACTTTCAGCTGTTAGGCAGATCCACATCTCTAAAGAGGGTTTCCTGAGAGTCATTGAGAGCTGGGCAATGTTCCCTGTTCTTCCTGAGAAAGCTACAGGGTTTTTAGCTGCTGTGTGATCAACTTTACTTAGAGAATGACATCTGTAACCTCCTACAATTCTAACAGTGGTCTTGTGTCAGTATAGCACATAATCCCATGCTCAAATTCAAGCCATTCAGTTCTCCTGTTGAAGTCAATAAAATTAATGAAGAGAAAAGGAATTGTTCACATGTTCAGTACTAAAATACAAGGTATTTTTAAATTGTGAAGGACAAAAATGTTAAAATCATCTAGTCAGGTTGTTTGCACAATTCAGCTTGCAGATCATTAATCTGTGTTTTGTGTGGTTCTTCAGGATCTGTGTGGGATCATAGAAAACGTATTTTTAAAGAATATCCAATGCTGAATTGAAGGCTTCAAGTGACAGTCAGCGATTGTGTATTGGCTGGCTAAATGGTTTACCTTCACTCAGAAAAAATACACTTCTGAGTTCTAACCTGAATTTTTACAGTTTCAGCTGCTGAATCTTGTATTTTATCTGGGTCCAATAGTCCTTATCCTCTTCTGCTCAAATAGACATGCAATAACATCAGTGTATTCCTCTCTAACCTTCCTTTTGAAGAAAGTGAGCTGAATTGTGAAACCTTGAATAATTGTTGTACTTCTTTTGTTAGCCTGTTCCAATTTTGTTCCGTTTCAAACGTGTTTGGCAACTCTTTTAAATTGAGAGCAATGTGCCTTGTCTGGAGGGAGAACTTTCTGATGAGCAGCAATGCCTGATGCTCAGAAGCGTGAGCAGCTTGGTTCAGATAAGGACATAGAACTGCAGGCTGGTAAACAAACCTCGTTCCAAATTCCTCATGCTAATTCAAATATGTGCTATCCGTCTAGACTCTGCACGAGAACAGCTCCCTGATGTTGCAGCAGAGATGCAGGAGAAGATATGGAAACGGGGAACAAAAATAGGTGCGAATGACAGCAGTTGTGCCCACAAATCTTGTGCTTCTTCCTAACAAGGAGAGTTGGTCCTTTTGTGCAGGGCTTGAGTCCTTTTGATGCCCATGTTCAGCATCAGCGTGAGACCACATCACGTCTCGCAAGGCTGGGTGCTCTGCTGGCAGAGAGCTGAAACAGAAGAAGAGCTCTTCTAAGCACTAGCTGGAAACTCACTGAAAAGGCACATCCTAATCTGTGAGCATTCCCTTACAGCCAAAATCTGTGTCAACAACATAGCTTCATACTGGTGATACAGAATCAGTCAAACCACTTGTCTTTGGTCTAAGACTGATCTAGGACAAACTGCAGCATTATCGAGCTTCTGGCGCCCAGTCTCCCATACGCAGAAGCTCTGCCCACCTGTTTTATCTTTAACGTTTGTCCCCTGGAGTTCAGGCCAACCATCCACATCAGATTTGCTCTAGGAACTTGCTGAACTGACTCAAGTTTCTCGCCGGGAATAACAAATACATTATCGCGAGCGTCTTGGAAGGATCGAGTTAATGGCCAGAACCGAAGGCTTGCCCAGCTTCCCGCTGGGTATCCATTCCCGCTGCTGCCGCTCCCTCTGAAGGAATCCCGGTGTTCCCGGTGTTCCCGGTGCTCTCGGTGCTCCCGGTGTTCCCGGGGCTGGGAGGCAGCGCTGCCGTCCCCGCGGCCGCCAGCAGGCGGCGCTGCTCACTGCGCGCTGTGGCGGCCCCGGGCCGGCCGAGCCTTCCCGGCCTGCGCTCCCGCCGGGATCAGCCGGGATGTGTGGGACCCGCAGCCGTGACCTCCCTCTGCCCTAAAAGCAAACTTGGAGAGCTACGTTCTTGTCAAATGGAATCAGAGGGAGCCGCCGGTGTTGTCAGGATCCCCCTGATCCCTGGGGACAATCAGGGAAGGTGTCCATGCTGATTCCTTGGACATGACCAATCAAGGTAATCTCTTCTCGCTGGTGGCCGGCGGTAGGACTCGAGGGAATGGCCTGAAGTTGTGTCAGGGGCAGTTCATGCTGGGTATCAGGACAAGGTTCTTCTCCCAGAGGTGTTTGGGCACTGGAACAGCTCCCCAGGGCAGGGGCCGCAGCCCGGCCTGACAGCGCCCGAGCAGTTCCAGGCGATGCTCTCAGGCACAGGCGGTGACTCTCGGCCGTGTGCTGTGCAGGGCCAGGAGCTGAATTCCGTGATCCTTGTGGGTCCCCTCCAGCTCACCTTGTTCTGTAACCCAGACCCAGTGAGGGACATGCAAGAGCTGCAAGGAAGCCTCGCAGTCCTGGAAGTGCCAAAGCTCAAACAAAACTCCCGTACACTCCTGTATAATCCATTCCTATTTAAAGAACTAAAACCTAACGAAATAAAATAAAACTTCATAGATTATTGGGAATTTGATTTGATGTTAGGAAAAGGCTCTTCATCCAGAGGTTGGTTAGGCACTGGAATAGGCTTCCCAGGGCAGTGGTCCCAGCAGCAGGGCTGACAGAGCTCAGAAGTGTTTGGACAATGCTCTCAGGCACGGGGTGTGCCTCTTGGGGTGTCCCGTGCTGGACCAGGAGCTGGACTCCATGACCCTTGTAGTTCTCTTCCAGCACAGGTTATTCTATGATTCTATGAGTGAAGAATGAGGAAATTAGGGATTATATCCGCATAAGATTGAGGTGTTGCTTTCTTTGAGCGATGTAAAATTGTAAATTTAGTGTTCAAATAAGTGTTTATAGGGGAAAAAAAATAAGTGTAGCAACCATGAATTACTTTTAGCATATTCACTTGGAAGTTATGTGTGTACATGTGGCTCTGCTGCCTCAAGTGTGGCAACACAGACATAGGATTTTAATTTGTGATATAGAGTTCAGCTTTGGACTTTTACATTTCCTTTACTTTTTGGTTGAAAAATTATTTGTATACAGTGTACAAAAAAATCATAGCATTGTTTCAGCAAAATCTTTGCTCTTGCAATCTTTTTATTGATAAAATGTAATTTGTGATGACTTGTATGTCTAATCAAGAAAGAGTGACTTGGCCATGGAGATGGTTAGCTTACTATTTATTTTATAAAAATGCATTACTATATGGTTTTCTTTGGGATGTAGCAGAAACCTATTTCTATTGAGAAGAAATACATTTTACATTTGAATTATAGTAACCCGTGGGCACTCTTTTTTCTTGAAGGTTTTAATCCATTATTTTAACTCTTGTTTAATTTCCCTGTATTTTGGGAGACATCTTCCATGCAAAGTTAGATACAAAATTGTACAGCTTCTTTGCAAATAAGCCTCAGGCCTCGAAAAAGCCCCAAACCAAGAAAAAACCAAAAACCCCAAAACAAAATCAAAAAATTCAACAAAAAAAAGAAAACCCACCCCAAACAATAACCAGTGTCTTTTTGGCTAATGTTCCTGGAATATATTTTGGTAATGTTACTGGAAGTAACACAGATTAAAAAAATTGGGGTATAGTCTCATTGTTGGAGCATGAAACCAACAAAGAAGGGATTCTCTTCTTCCTTATTCTCCCTGTAGGCTAATAGTATGAAATGTGCAAAGTCCCAGCTCAGGCTAGGTGCCTCTGCAACAACTCTCATCAGCTGGGGTGAAAAAGTAAAATTACAAAGCAGTGGCTGCAGCCACATGGGAGCATTATCAAGCGGGAATTTCGCACAGGTGCTCTCTCTCTCCCTGTCCTTCAGAACAGGTGTCCACAGGGCCAAGTTTTCAAGGTCAGCTTGAAATTCCTATTCATTGATTTAGAGGTCTGGCTGAAGGGCATATTGAATATTTGTCTTTTGAGGGCAAAATGGACACAGTTTCAAAAGCCATAAATACTTTTCAAGTTACAAATCAGCTGTAATTAGCCAGAGACTCTTATGCAAGGAGCATCCTTAGATTTCCTTTGAGATTTTAATATTAACAAACACAATATTTTCTTTAAGATGCTTAATCCATTTAGTGAAATTTAATTGGAAAAAAAGGGAGACCAAACTATTCTGATACATTTCATGTCACTGTTTGTGATGGATTAAAACTGGGAATTATTGGCTATCTGTGACTTGTGCTCTCTCAGCTCTCTCAAGCTCTCTCTCTCATTTATTTGCATTACTGGTCTCAGTAAACAAGATGGTGCATTTCTTTCGAATGTGTACTTTAAACTAGTTGCAGCTCCTCCTCGGAAGAGGAATATTTGTAACTGACCTTTTTTGTTTGCTTACTTCTTTTACTGATTTGTGAGGCTTTGATTGAAGACTTCCATCTCTTGCTTTTTGCTTTAGCAATGGTAATTCACATTTGTATGTGATTAATTCAGCGGTCACTCCACAGGAGGGTATTAAGTAAAATACTTAGTGTCTTTTCCAGAGACCAGGTTCTCTGCATGGAAAAGCAACACGAGAATAAGAATTAGAATGAATTTTGGTCCTGGTGGAGATTTGTAAAAGATGCCTTCTGCAGGCAGTCTGGCCACTGGGAAGGGCTCTTATGCAAGGCTGGAGGCAGCTACAAGGGTCAGTCCCTGATCCGTGCTTGCTGATGACTACCTTCGTCATCCTGAGCTGCGGCTGCTGAGCAAAGTTTATGTTTTTATTCTCTTTGGTAGCTACTGCACAGAGCTTTGAAGTATCACAGCTTGAAACACCACAGAGCTTTTCTCTGCCAGCCCAGATTACGTATGGGAAGGGGATCAAATAAAACCGATTTAGATACTGCAGTTAGCAATGCTGACATCATCAGTAGTGCCCTTTCAATTCCTCCATCAGCTTTGACTCTCTTTTGCTTTACTATTTGGAAATGGCATTAAATGCTGATAAGGCAGTGTATATTTCAGGTTTCCAAAGTCCTTTGAGTCACTCTTGGACAATCAAACCTTTTTTTGGGATACAGGTACCTGACATTACCTGCTCACGATATGGTGCCTGATCACATCCAGGAAGCTATTTCAGTACTGCTGCATTCCTGCTCTGGTTGGACAAAATGCAGTTCATCTTTTGTTTCCTGCCCATAATGGGATTGTTAAGTGAGTTTTTAGAGCTTTAGGAGACTCTGTGCATCTGAACAGAATCTTAATTGTTGGTGTGTTCTCCTTCAAAGCGAAGGGTGTCATGGCTTTAAGATTCTGAATCTAAATCTCATGGAAGTTGAGGTAATAGAGGTTCAGTGATTTGGGTCCTCTTTCAGGTTCTCACCTCTAGTTTGTTCTTAATCAAAGTTGGATTTCTTGCCCAGGAGAGAAGTGGCTGATGATTACAGAAAGTTTACAGAAAAAGACTGAGGAAGAAGACAAATATCATTCATGACTCTTTATCCATAGTTAGGTGCAGATGTCTGATAGTGCACGTTGTTTGCTAAATCCATTCCATTTCCTAATCTTGTGCCACCATGCACACGTTTGCAGTGGAGTTAGTGTGCAGCAATGCTGAGACTATCTGCTCAAAAACCATTTGCCACCCTGCATCTCACAGATGCCTCTGCCTTCACTTGAAACATATTTTGAGCTGCACGACCCCTGGATTTTTTTAAGATCTGAGATGAAAATGGATGAAAACACATTAGCATGAAACAAATTCTCTAGCTCTTTTGTCAATTTTTTTATCAAGTGTCAGCTATCAATTTAAGAAATTATGGAGCTTGAATGTAAAATTATGTCTTTGGATTATTTCTGCCTAATTTTCTGAAAGAGTAGCACTATTTCTTGGAAGTTAACAGAAGGATAAATGATCATTATATTTCTTAGATCATACCACATCTGATTGGCTGCTCTAAGCACATCACTGGAAGACTGTAGGAGAATAAGTTTAGTCCTGGTTCATTCACATTGTATCTTCTATTCAGTTTAGGACTTCAAGGTTTTGTTTAGCTTTCTCCTCCTCAGCCATACTTTTGATTGTGAAGAATATTTTTCTTTGCATCTATAAAACTGACTTTGGTTGATGATTTCTCTAAGGACTGTTACACTACCTCCAGTGGCAGTGTCTTAGTAGTAAGACAACTTCAATTAAAATATGCTATTTAAACCCCTTTGTTAAGATAATAAGACAAATTGATTTAAAAATATCTATCCCAAGGATTATTTTAATTAAGATAACAAACAGCATGAAAAAGGAGGATTTTTTAACTAAGTGCACGTTTTATCTGCAACTAGTTTTGAGTACTTTGGGAATATGTTGCTTCAGAAATCACCTCATTCTTTTGGTGGAGTGACTGTGCTTTTTAGGTATGCCTGAAAAGACCAAAAGCCATTCTGGATGTGGAGAGCAGGAGTGCAGAGATCATCACACCCATCAGCACCAGGTTCTTCTTGTTTTATGTTACAGCTATGTAATGTTTAAATAAAAATAAATTAAGTGTTAAGTAGAAAGTCTTCCTGCCCTAGTGTGAATAACAACATACTCCTGGCATGACAATATAGCATTGTTAGCTCTGTGCTGGAGATGATCTCATAGTTGGTTTAATCAAAAATCTAATCTATGCTGTTGAGAGGGCCATAGCTTGGGAAATTCAATCTTTTATCGTTTTGCCAAGAACTTTCCTTGGTGTCCTTTGGGTCACATTGGAAGGCTCATTTTGTTGTGCTAGGATTTTCTGAGAGAGAAATCACACAGAGTTTTTGTTGTGGGGCCTCAGAAGGCTTTTCTCACACAGGCTGGGATGCATTAGGGAAATGAGTAAACTAGGGTCATATCATACATGCCTAGTCTATCCACCGCTGTCTGTGTGTTTTGATAGATGAGATGAAAATTGTATTTATTTGCATTGAATACTATTAGTTTTCTTTAAAGAGTTAAAAAATCCTCATTAGTTTTTTTTTTTTTTTAATAATGATAAACCACTTAGGAATCCACAAAGTCAAAAGCTTGCTCGTAAAATTTTCTAGTTCCTTAACTCGAGTGCTTCTAAGTTGCAAATGCTGTTGTTTTTAGAACAACTGCTGTTAATGAGCTGGCTTTTCCAATC